GTTGCTTCTCTTTTCACAAGGTATTGAAAACCATGTTGGTACGTGAGGTTCTCCATTACCACCTCCAGCATCTTAGCCCTCCAGGTGTTGGTCCCACATGTGACTCCAGGTTCTCCTAGTCAATCTCCTTGTGGTTTGAGTCACCCATGACCAGTATCTTTGTGCTGCCCATGTATTACGGAGTACTGTTATAATGTTTATATAAAATAATGCTCCATAGTACCGGGATTGAACTGAAAGCAAACGTGTATTATTCCCTGAGAGCGGACGCGTTTTATTCCTGTCACAGGCATAGTGACCAGGACAGGAGCAGTCGAGGTGTGTTTAAGGAGAAGGTTACACACAGCAGAGGAAGCGGATGTAGCGGTGTATGTAGTGCCGGGTAGGTTTTTTTTAGTATATACTGTTTTGTGAGGGAGGGCCTGTGTTTTGGAGATCATTTAATATTATAACTGTAGGCTAAGTAGCCGGCAAGAAGGAAGGGGGGGTCATAAAGCCTCCCAGTTTATATATTTTAACTCAGTAGCAGTGTTAGTGTAAACTGGAGTCTGGTGTTTACTTGTAGTAGTTACTATTATTATATTGTTTATATTTTCGTATAGGCGAGTTTTTGTGTCCTTCCTTATACAACATTAATTATTTGCACTCAAGCTTCATAATTTGTATAAGTAACATGATGGCCCTAGAGTGGCTGTGTTTCTCAGTGTAATTTAAATGTCCCTAGACAGCAGATTAAGCAGCCATTTAGAAGCCATTTTATTAAAGTTACGACATCAAAGTCGTAACAGCATGTATGCTCTTCTGGCCACTTTAGCCAGTGTATCCACCAATGTTCTTTTCCGTTCTTCATACTTTTGTTTTGGTCTCTTGCTATTTAGTGGAGGGTTATACATCTCTGCTACCACCATCTTGGGACCCCTAGTCTACAGGGTGCCTACTATGTAGTCATCTGCTTCCCCTCTGTCCATTCCTTCCATTTACTCAAAGTGCCACTCTTCATGTTTCCTCTGTCTTTCCTCAGAATCTGAGCCAGTCAGGAAGACAGAATCTGTTATCATCTCTGTAAGCTTTGTCTCAGTGAGTGCTATGATGTTTGGGGATGCCTTCATGATTCGTTAATACTACTCCTCACTCTTATTTGTTATTCCATTACTGTGTTCCGATTTGTTGGTTCTTGGATCCCTAGTCCTTACCCAAGGGTCGGAGGGGTGGGAGGGTTTGAAGTTATGGAAAGGATGATTTTGTTAGAGGTTGCTATAGGGATGGTATTCAGGGGAATGGAGACTGTGGGTGTGGAGTGTGGTACGTTTTGAGTTATTTATTTTGGTTGGGAGGAGGGAGGCTAGGGGGTTGTGTGGGTGGTTGTTCATAGTGGTGCCCTCAGGGTTGAACTTTCATGTCTGTTGAGATATGTCCTGTCTCTCCTTCCTGATTCTGGTGTCTTTGTGCTCTGTCTCAGTTGCTCCCATTCCTTTCTTGTTGTGTCACTGTCAAGACACACCTGCTGGTATTCTTCCGAATCCCTGAATCGTGGTTTCTGCTGCATGATCCTATCGTGTACCATTAACGTCATGAGTGTTACTTGAACTGGTCACTTTTATCCCCTTTGAGTACCTCCCAAATCTCTGAATATTTGTCACCTGGGACATGCCTTCTCCATCAGTTACTGTGTGTTTCATCACAAGTCCTTCCAGCAGCTTCTTGATTGGAGGACTTCCTCTCTCCACAGCTCTGTATCAGATTTGATCATCTCCTTTGCAGTTCTTTTTAACCTATGAACCTCCCAGTTGCCTGATAGTATTTCCACAAAGGTCTTAGCTCCTCACCTTCTTTCAGTCTCTTCACCTGCCATTGCTGCTCTGTACCTCTACCTCAGCAGCTGCAGTTTGTATCTCCCATTCCTTGCTTTCTGCAGACACCCTCTCCTCCATCACTTTGTGTGTGTGTGTGATACTGGTATCGTCTGGTAGTGGTTCTCACCACACCACAGTAGGTAGTGTTGGTATCGTCTGGTAGTGGTACTCACCACACCACAGTAGGTGGTGCTGATATCGTCTGGTAATGATACTCACTATAGCACAGTACGTGGTGCTGGTATGGTCTGGTAGTGGTACTCACCAGAGCACAGTAGGTGGTGCTGGTATGGTCTGGTAGTGGTACTCACCAGAGCACAGTAGGTGGTGCTAGTATGGTCTGGTAGTGGTACTCACCAGAGCACAGTAGGTGGTGCTGGTATGGTCTGGTAGTGGTACTCAACACAGCACAGTAGGTGGTACTGGTATGGTCTGGTAGTGGTACCACAGCACAGTAGGTGGTGCTGGTATCGTCTGGTAGTGGTACTCACCAGAGCACAGTAGGTGGTGCTAGTATGGTCTGGTAGTGGTACTCACCAGAGCACAGTAGGTGGTGCTGGTATGGTCTGGTAGTGGTACTCAACACAGCACAGTAGGTGGTACTGGTATGGTCTGGTAGTGGTACTCACCAGAGCACAGTAGGTGGTGCTGGTATGGTCTGGTAGTAGTACTCACCAGAGCACAGTAGGTGGTGCTAGTATGGTCTGGTAGTGGTACTCACCAGAGCACAGTAGGTGGTGCTGGTATGGTCTGGTAGTGGTACTCAACACAGCATAGTAGGTGGTACTGGTATGGTCTGGTAGTGGTACTCACCACAGCAGAGTAGGTGGTGCTGGTATCGTCTGGTAGTGGTACTCACCACAGCACAGTAGGTGGTGCTGGTATCGTCTGGTAGTGTTACTCACCACAGCACAATAGGTGGTGCTGGTATCGTCTGGTACTGGTACTCACTACAGCACAGTAGCTGGTACTGGTATAGTCTGGTACTCACCAAAGCACAGTAGCTAGTATTGGTATCGTCTGGCACTCACCACAGCACAGTAGCTGGTACTGGTATCGTCTAGTACTTACCACAGCACAGTAGGTAGTACTGGTATCGTCTGGTACTCACCACAGTACAGTATTTGGTACTGGTATCGTCTCGTACTCACCACAGCACAGTAACTAGTACTGGTATCGTCTCGTAATCACCACAGCACAGTAGCTGGTACTGGTATAGTCTGGTACTCACCACAGCACAGTAGCTGGTGCTGGTATAGTCTGGTACTCACCAAAGCACAGTAGCTAGTATTGGTATCGTCTGGCACTCACCACAGCACAGTAGCTGGTACTGGTATCGTCTAGTACTTACCACAGCACAGTAGGTAGTACTGGTATCGTCTGGTACTCACCACAGTACAGTAGTTGGTACTGGTATCGTCTCTTACTCACCACAGCACAGTAGCTAGTACTGGTATCGTCTCGTACTCACCACAGCACAATAGCTAGTACTGGTATCGTCTCGTACTCACCACAGCACAGTAGCTGGTACTGATATCGTCTGGTACCACAGTACAGTAGTTGGTACTGGTATCGTCTCGTACTCACCACAGCACAGTAGCTAGTACTGGTATCGTCTCGTACTCACCACAGCACAGTAGCTAGTACTGGTATCGTCTCGTACTCACCACAGCACAGTAGCTGGTACTGGTATCGTCTGGTACTCACCACAGTACAGTAGTTGTTACTGGTATCGTCTCGTACTCACCACAGCACAGTAGCTAGTACTGGTATCGTCTCGTACTCACCACAGCACAGTAGCTGGTACTGGTATCGTCTGGTACTCACCACAGTACAGTAGTTGGTACTGGTATCGTCTCGTACTCACCACAGCACAGTAGATAGTACTGGTATCGTCTCGTACTCACCACAGCACAGTAGCTAGTACTGGTATCGTCTCGTACTCACCACAGCACAGTAGTTGGTACTGGTATCGTCTCGTACTCACCACAGCACAGTAGCTGGTGCTGGTATAGTCTGGTACTCACCACAGCACAGTAGCTGGTGTTGGTATAGTCTGGTACTCACCACAGCACAGTAGCTAGTACTGGTATAGTCTGGTACTCACCACAGCACAGTAGCTAGTGCTGGTATAGTCTGGTACTCACCACAGCACAGTAGCTGGTGCTGGTATAGTCTGGTACTCACCACAGCACAGTAGCTGGTGCTGGTATAGTCTGGTACTCACCACAGCACAGTAGCTGGTGCTGGTATAGTCTGGTACTCACCACAGCACAGTAGCTGGTGCTGGTATAGTCTCGTACTCACCACAGCACAGTAGCTAGTACTGGTATAGTCTGGTACTCACCACAGCACAGTAGCTGGTGCTGGTATCGTCTCGTACTCACCACAGCACAGTAGCTGGTGCTGGTATAGTCTGGTACTCACCACAGCACAGTAGCTGGTGCTGGTATAGTCTGGTACTCACCACAGCACAGTAGCTGGTGCTGGTATAGTCTGGTACTCACCACAGCACAGTAGCTAGTGCTGGTATAGTCTGGTACTCACCACAGCACAGTAGCTGGTGCTGGTATAGTCTGGTACTCACCACAGCACAGTAGCTGGTACTGGTATAGTCTGGTACTCACCACAGCACAGTAGCTGGTGCTGGTATAGTCTGGTACTCACCACAGCACAGTAGCTGGTGCTGGTATAGTCTGGTACTCACCACAGCACAGTAGCTGGTGCTGGTATAGTCTGGTACTCACCACAGCACAGTAGCTGGTGCTGGTATAGTCTGGTACTCACCACAGCACAGTAGCTGGTGCTGGTATAGTCTGGTACTCACCACAGCACAGTAGCTAGTGCTGGTATAGTCTGGTACTCACCACAGCACAGTAGCTGGTGCTGGTATAGTCTGGTACTCACCACAGCACAGTAGCTGGTGCTGGTATAGTCTGGTACTCACCACAGCACAGTAGCTGGTGCTGGTATAGTCTGGTACTCACCACAGCACAGTAGCTAGTGCTGGTATAGTCTGGTACTCACCACAGCACAGTAGCTGGTGCTGGTATAGTCTGGTACTCACCACAGCACAGTAGCTGGTGCTGGTATAGTCTGGTACTCACCACAGCACAGTAGCTAGTGCTGGTATAGTCTGGTACTCACCACAGCACAGTAGCTGGTGCTGGTATCGTCTGGTAGTGAGGCAGGATCGTGCCACCTAGTGTAGTTAAACTTGGCACCAGAGAGCCAGAGCCACTCTTGTTGACCTTGTCCACGATGCAGACCGAGCCAGCTGGGACCCAGCATCACCCCTCGGGGGAGAGGTCATCACAGGTCACATAAGGTCATCACAGGTCACATAAGATCATCAGAGATCACATAAGGTCATCACAGGTCACATAAGGTCATCAGAGATCATTTAAGGTCATCAGAGATCACATAAGATCATAAGAGATCACATAAGGTTATAAGAGATCATATTAGGTCATCAGAGATCACATAAAGTCATCAGAGATCACGTAAGGTCATCAGAGATCACATAAGGTCATCAGAGATTACATAAAGTCATCACAGGTCACATAAGGTCATCAGAGATCACGTAAGGTCATCAGAGATTACATAAAGTCATCAGAGATCACATAAGGTCATCAGAGATCACATAAGGTCATCAGAGATCACATAAGGTCATCAGAGATCACATAAGGTGATCAGAGATAACATAAGATCATAAGAGATCACATAAGTTCATCAGAGATCACATAAGGTCATCAGAGATTACATAAGGTCATCAGAGATCACATAAGGTCATCAGAGATCACATAAGGTCATCAGAGATCACATAAGGTCATCAGAGATCACATAAGGTCATCAGAGATCATATAAGGTCATCAGAGATCACATAAGGTCATCAGAGATCACATAAGGTCATCAGAGATCACATAAGGTCATCAGAGATCACATAAGGTCATCAGAGATCACATAAGGTCATCAGAGATCACATAAGGTCATCAGAGATCACATAAGGTCATCAGAGATCACATAAGGTCATCAGAGATCACATAAGGTCATCAGAGATCACATAAGGTCATCAGAGATCATATAACGTCATCAGAGATCACATAAGGTCATCAGAGATCACATAAGGTCATCAGAGATCACATAAGGTCATCAGAGATCACATAAGGTCATCAGAGATCATATAAGGTCATCAGAGATCACATAAGGTCATCAGAGATCACATAAGGTCATCAGAGATCACATAAGGTCATCAGAGATCACATAAGGTCATCAGAGATCACATAAGGTCATCAGAGATCACATAAGGTCATCAGAGATCACATAAGGTCATCAGAGATCACATAAGGTCATCAGAGATCACATAAGGTCATCAGAGATCACATAAGGTCATCAGAGATCACATAAGGTCATCAGAGATCACATAAGGTTATGAGAGGTCATATAACGTCTTTAGAGGTCACATGACGTCATTATAGGTTACATAAGGTCATGAGAAGTCATAACAGGAGATCGAGAACAATAACAGTAAATGGAGAACAGTAGCAGTAAATAGTGAACAACAGTAGATGGTGAACTAAAACAACATGGTGAACAATAACAATAGTGGTGAAAAAACAATAGATGGTGAACAGTAACAGAAGATAGTGAACAATAACAACAGATGGTGAACAGTAACAGTAGATGGTGAATAACAACAGATGGTGAACAGTAACAGTAGATGAACAATAACAGAAGATGGTGAACAATAACAACAGATGGTGAACAGTAACAGTAGATGGTGAACAATAACAACAGATGGTGAACAGTAATAGAAGATGGTGAACAATAACAACAGATGGTGAACAATAACAGAAGATGGTGAACAATAACAACAGATGGTGAACAATAACAGAAGATGGTGAACAATAACAACAGATGGTGAACAATAACAGAAGATGGTGAACAATAACAACAGATGGTGAACAATAACAGAAGATGGTGAACAATAACAACAGATGGTGAACAATAACAGAAGATGGTGAACAATAACAACAGATGGTGAACAGTAACAGTAGATGGTGAACAACAACAACAGATGGTGAACAATAACAGGAGATGGTGAACAATAACAGATGGTGAACAATAACAGAAGTTCCAGCAGTGGAACACAAACAACAGTGCAAGAAGCGTCAGGTTACATCACTAGCGGTTAAATCATTACACAGGTACATAATTGTACAGTGTTGACTTATAAGTCAATGTTCACTCATGGAGTGTTCTGATGAACAAAATTGTGAACACAAATAACATTAAATTCTCTCTGAAGAACAAAACTGTTCAGGACTTCTCTCTGAGGAACAAAATTGTTCACAATTGTTCTCTCTGACCAAAACTGTTCACAATTTATATCAAATGTTCACTCACGGAGTGTTATTATGAACAGAATCGTTGTGAACACAGATAACAAAATTGTTCTCTGAAGGGCAATACTGTTCATGTTAATGTGAGAGTGACATGACACTCACCTCTAATAAGGTCACTCTGGGTGTCAGAGTGCAGGTGTAGAAGTGAGAGTGACATGACACTCACCTCTAATAAGGTCACTCTGGGTGCCAGAGTGCAGGTATAGAAGTGAGAGTGACATGACACTCACCTCTAGTAAGGTCACTCTGGGTGCCAGAGTGCAGGTATAGAAGTGAGAGTGACATGACACTCACCTCTAATAAGGTCACTCTGGGTGCCAGAGTGCAGGAATAGAAGTGAGAGTGACATGACACTCACCTCTAGTAAGGCCACTCTGGGTGCCAGAGTGCAGGTATAGAAGTGAGAGTGACATGACACTCGCCTCTAATAAGGTCACTCTGGGTGCCAGAGTGCAGGTATAGAAGTGAGAGTGACATGACACTCACCTCTAGTAAGGTCACTCTGGGTGCCAGTGTGCAGGTATAGAAGTGAGAGTGACATGACACTCACCTCTAGTAAGGTCACTCTGGGTGCCAGAGTGCAGGTATAGAAGTGAGAGTGACATGACACTCACCTCTAATAAGGTCACTCTGGGTGTCAGAGTGCAGGTGTAGAAGTGTTGTGAGAGTGACATGACACTCACCTCTAATAAGGTCACTCTGGGTGTCAGAGTGCAGGTATAGAAGTGAGAGTGACATGACACTCACCTCTAATAAGGTCACTCAGGGTGTCAGAGTGCAGGTGTAGAAGTGTTGTGAGAGTGACATGACACTCACCTCTAATAAGGTCACTCTGGGTGCCAGAGTGCAGGTATAGAAGTGAGAGTGACATGACACTCACCTCTAGTAAGGTCACTGGGTGCCAGAGTGCAGGTATAGAAGTGAGAGTGACATGACACTCACCTCTAATAAGGTCACTCTGGGTGCCAGAGTGCAGGTATAGAAGTGAGAGTGACATGACACTCACCTCTAGTAAGGTCACTCTGGGTGCCAGAGTGCAGGTATAGAAGTGAGAGTGACATGACACTCACCTCTAATAAGGTCACTCTGGGTGCCAGAGTGCAGGTATAGAAGTGAGAGTGACATGACACTCACCTCTAGTAAGGTCACTCTGGGTGCCAGAGTGCAGGTATAGAAGTGAGAGTGACATGACACTCACCTCTAATAAGGTCACTCTGGGTGCCAGAGTGCAGGTATAGAAGTGAGAGTGACAAGACACTCACCTCTAGTAAGGCCACTCTGGGTGCCAGAGTGCAGGTATAGAAGTGAGAGTGACATGACACTCACCTCTAATAAGGTCACTCTGGGTGCCAGAGTGCAGGTATAGAAGTGAGAGTGACATGACACTCACCTCTAGTAAGGTCACTCTGGGTGCCAGTGTGCAGGTATAGAAGTGAGAGTGACATGACACTCACCTCTAGTAAGGTCACTCTGGGTGCCAGAGTGCAGGTATAGAAGTGAGAGTGACATGACACTCACCTCTAATAAGGTCACTCTGGGTGCCAGAGTGCAGGTATAGAAGTGAGAGTGACATGACACTCACCTCTAATAAGGTCACTCTGGGTGCCAGAGTGCAGGTATAGAAGTGAGAGTGACATGACACTCACCTCTAATTAGGTCACACTGGGTGCCAGAGTGCAGGTATAGAAGTGAGAGTGACATGACACTCACCTCTAATAAGGTCACTCTGGGTGTCAGAGTTCAGGTATAGAAGTGAGAGTGACATGACACTCACCTCTAATAAGGTCACTCTGGGTGTCAGAGTGCAGGTGTAGAAGTGTTGTGAGAGTGACATGACACTCACCTCTAATAAGGTCACTCTGGGTGCCAGAGTGCAGGTATAGAAGTGAGAGTGACATGACACTCACCTCTAGTAAGGTCACTCTGGGTGTCAGAGTGCAGGTATAGAAGTGAGTGACATGACACTCGCCTCTAATAAGGTCACTCTGGGTGTCATAGTGCAGGTATAGAAGTGAGAGTGACATGACACTCACCTCTAATAAGGTCACTCTGGGTGTCAGAGTGCAGGTATAGAAGTGAGAGTGACACGACACTCACCTCTAATAAGGTCACTCTGGGTGTCAGAGTGCAGGTGTAGTAGTGAGAGTAACATGACACTCTCCTCTAATAAGGTCACTCTGGGTGTCAGAGTGCAGGTGTAGAAGTGTTGTGAGAGTGACATGACACTCACCTCTAATAAGGTCACTCTGGGTGGCAGAGTGCAGGTGTAGAAGTGAGAGTGACATGACACTCACCTCTGATAAGGTCACTCTGGGTGTCAGAGTGCAGGTGTAGAAGTGAGAGTGACATGACACTCACATCTAATAAGGTCACTCTGGGTGTCAGAGTGCAGGTGTAGAAGTGAGAGTGACATGACACTCACCTTTAATAAGGTCACTCTGGGTGTCGGAGTGCAGGTATAGAAGTGAGAGTGACATGACACTCACCTCCAGTAAGGTCACTCTGGTGTCAGAGTGCAGGTATAGAAGTGAGTGACATGACACTCGCCTCTAATAAGGTCACTCTGGGTGTCAGAGTGCAGGTATAGAAGTGAGAGTGACTTGACACTCACCTCTAATAAGGTCACTCTGGGTGTCAGAGTGCAGGTACAGAAGTGAGAGTGACACGACGCTCACCTCTAATAAGGTCACTCTGGGTGTCAGAGTGCAGGTATAGAAGTGAGAGTGACATGACACTCACCTCTAATAAGGTCACTCTGGGTGTCAGAGTGCAGGTATAGAAGTGAGAGTGACACGACACTCACCTCTAATAAGGTCACTCTGGGTGTCAGAGTGCAGGTGTAGTAGTGAGAGTGACATGACACTCACCTCTAATAAGGTCACTCTGGGTGTCCGAGTGCAGGTGTAGAAGTGTTGTGAGAGTGACATGACACTCACCTCTAATAAGGTCACTCTGGGTGGTAGAGTGCAGGTGTAGAAGTGAGAGTGACATGACACTCACCTCTGATAAGGTCACTCTGGGTGTCAGAGTGCAGGTGTAGAAGTGAGAGTGACATGACACTCACATCTAATAAGGTCACTCTGGGTGTCAGAGTGCAGGTGTAGAAGTGAGAGTGACATGACACTCACCTATAATAAGGTCACTCTGGGTGTCGGAGTGCACTTATAGAAGTGAGGGTGACATGACACTCACCTCTAATAAGGTCACTCTGGGTGTCAGAGTGCAGGTATAGAAGAGAGTGACATGACACTCACCTCTAGTAAGGTCACTCTGGGTGTCAGAGTGCAGGTATAGAAGTGAGTGACATGACACTCGCCTCTAATAAGGTCACTCTGGGTGTCATAGTGCAGGTATAGAAGTGAGAGTGACATGACACTCACCTCTAATAAGGTCACTCTGGGTGTCAGAGTGCAGGTATAGAAGTGAGAGTGACACGACACTCACCTCTAATAAGGTCACTCTGGGTGTCAGAGTGCAGGTGTAGTAGTGAGAGTAACATGACACTCTCCTCTAATAAGGTCACTCTGGGTGTCAGAGTGCAGGTGTAGAAGTGTTGTGAGAGTGACATGACACTCACCTCTAATAAGGTCACTCTGGGTGGCAGAGTGCAGGTGTAGAAGTGAGAGTGACATGACACTCACCTCTGATAAGGTCACTCTGGGTGTCAGAGTGCAGGTGTAGAAGTGTTGTGAGAGTGACATGACACTCACCTCTAATAAGGTCACTCTGGGTGCCAGAGTGCAGGTATAGAAGTGAGAGTGACATGACACTCACCTCTAGTAAGGTCACTCTGGGTGTCAGAGTGCAGGTATAGAAGTGAGTGACATGACACTCGCCTCTAATAAGGTCACTCTGGGTGTCATAGTGCAGGTATAGAAGTGAGAGTGACATGACACTCACCTCTAATAAGGTCACTCTGGGTGTCAGAGTGCAGGTATAGAAGTGAGAGTGACATGACACTCACCTCTAATTAGGTCACACTGGGTGCCAGAGTGCAGGTATAGAAGTGAGAGTGACATGACACTCACCTCTAATAAGGTCACTCTGGGTGTCAGAGTTCAGGTATAGAAGTGAGAGTGACATGACACTCACCTCTAATAAGGTCACTCTGGGTGTCAGAGTGCAGGTGTAGAAGTGTTGTGAGAGTGACATGACACTCACCTCTAATAAGGTCACTCTGGGTGCCAGAGTGCAGGTATAGAAGTGAGAGTGACATGACACTCACCTCTAGTAAGGTCACTCTGGGTGTCAGAGTGCAGGTATAGAAGTGAGTGACATGACACTCGCCTCTAATAAGGTCACTCTGGGTGTCATAGTGCAGGTATAGAAGTGAGAGTGACATGACACTCACCTCTAATAAGGTCACTCTGGGTGTCAGAGTGCAGGTATAGAAGTGAGAGTGACACGACACTCACCTCTAATAAGGTCACTCTGGGTGTCAGAGTGCAGATGTAGTAGTGAGAGTAACATGACACTCTCCTCTAATAAGGTCACTCTGGGTGTCAGAGTGCAGGTGTAGAAGTGTTGTGAGAGTGACATGACACTCACCTCTAATAAGGTCACTCTGGGTGGCAGAGTGCAGGTGTAGAAGTGAGAGTGACATGACACTCACCTCTGATAAGGTCACTCTGGGTGTCAGAGTGCAGGTGTAGAAGTGAGAGTGACATGACACTCACATCTAATAAGGTCACTCTGGGTGTCAGAGTGCAGGTGTAGAAGTGAGAGTGACATGACACTCACCTTTAATAAGGTCACTCTGGGTGTCGGAGTGCAGGTATAGAAGTGAGAGTGACATGACACTCACCTCCAGTAAGGTCACTCTGGTGTCAGAGTGCAGGTATAGAAGTGAGTGACATGACACTCGCCTCTAATAAGGTCACTCTGGGTGTCAGAGTGCAGGTATAGAAGTGAGAGTGACTTGACACTCACCTCTAATAAGGTCACTCTGGGTGTCAGAGTGCAGGTACAGAAGTGAGAGTGACACGACGCTCACCTCTAATAAGGTCACTCTGGGTGTCAGAGTGCAGGTATAGAAGTGAGAGTGACATGACACTCACCTCTAATAAGGTCACTCTGGGTGTCAGAGTGCAGGTATAGAAGTGAGAGTGACACGACACTCACCTCTAATAAGGTCACTCTGGGTGTCAGAGTGCAGGTGTAGTAGTGAGAGTGACATGACACTCACCTCTAATAAGGTCACTCTGGGTGTCCGAGTGCAGGTGTAGAAGTGTTGTGAGAGTGACATGACACTCACCTCTAATAAGGTCACTCTGGGTGGTAGAGTGCAGGTGTAGAAGTGAGAGTGACATGACACTCACCTCTGATAAGGTCACTCTGGGTGTCAGAGTGCAGGTGTAGAAGTGAGAGTGACATGACACTCACATCTAATAAGGTCACTCTGGGTGTCAGAGTGCAGGTGTAGAAGTGAGAGTGACATGACACTCCCCTATAATAAGGTCACTCTGGGTGTCGGAGTGCAGGTATAGAAGTGAGGATGACATGACACTCACCTCTAATAAGGTCACTCTGGGTGTCAGAGTGCAGGTATAGAAGAGAGTGACATGACACTCACCTCTAGTAAGGTCACTCTGGGTGTCAGAGTGCAGGTATAGAAGTGAGTGACATGACACTCACCTCTAATAAGGTCACTCTGGGTGTCAGAGTGCAGGTATAGAAGTGAGAGTGACATGACACTCACCTCTAATAAGGTCACTCTGGGTGTCAGAGTGCAGGTATAGAAGTGAGAGTGACACGACACTCACCTCTAATAAGGTCACTCTGGGTGTCAGAGTGCAGGTGTAGTAGTGAGAGTAACATGACACTCTCCTCTAATAAGGTCACTCTGGGTGTCAGAGTGCAGGTGTAGAAGTGTTGTGAGAGTGACATGACACTCACCTCTAATAAGGTCACTCTGGGGGGCAGAGTGCAGTGTAGAAGTGAGAGTGACATGACACTCACCTCTGATAAGGTCACTCTGGGTGTCAGAGTGCAGGTGTAGAAGTGAGAGTGACATGACACTCACATCTAATAAGGTCACTCTGGGTGTCAGAGTGCAGGTGTAGAAGTGAGAGTGACACGACACTCACCTTTAATAAGGTCACTCTGGGTGTCGGAGTGCAGGTATAGAAGTGAGAGTGACATGACACTCACCTCCAGTAAGGTCACTCTGGTGTCAGAGTGCAGGTATAGAAGTGAGTGACATGACACTCGCCTCTAATAAGGTCACTCTGGGTGTCAGAGTGCAGGTATAGAAGTGAGAGTGACATGACACTCACCTCTAATAAGGTCACTCTGGGTGTCAGAGTGCAGGTACAGAAGTGAGAGTGACACGACGCTCACCTCTAATAAGGTCACTCTGGGTGCCAGAGTGCAGGTGTAGAAGTGAGAGTGACATGACACTCACCTCTAATAAGGTCACTCTGGGTGTCAGAGTACAGGTATAGAAGTGAGAGTGACATGACACTCACCTATAATAAGGTCACTCTGGGTGTCGGAGTGCAGGTATAGAAGTGAGAGTGACATGACACTCACCTCTAATAAGGTCACTCTGATACCCAGAGTGCAGGTATAGAAGTGAGAGTGACATGACACTCACCTCTAATAAGGTCACTCTGGGTGCCAGAGTGCAGGTGTAGAAGTGAGAGTGACATGACACTCACCTCTAATAAGGTCACTCTGGGTGTCAGAGTGCAGGTATAGAAGTGAGAGTGACATGACACTCACCTATAATAAGGTCACTCTGGGTGTCGGAGTGCAGGTATAGAAGTGAGAGTGACATGACACTCACCTCTAATAAGGTCACTCTGATACCCAGAGTGCAGGTATAGAAGTGAGAGTGACATGACACTCACCTCTAATAAGGTTACTCTGGGTGTCAGAGTGCAGGTGTAGAAGTGAGAGTGACATGACACTCACCTATAATAAGGTCACTCTGGGTGTCGGAGTGCAGGTATAGAAGTGAGGGTGACATGACACTCACCTCTAATAAGGTTACTCTGGGTGTCAGAGTTCAGGTATGGAAGTGAGAGTGACACGACACTCACCTCTAATAAGGTCACTCTGGGTGTCAGAGTGCAGGTGTAGAAGTGAGGGTGACACGACACTCACCTCTAATAAGGTCACTCTGGGTGTCAGAGTGCAGGTATAGAAGTGAGGGTGACATGACACTCACCTCTAATAAGGTCACTCTGGGTGTCAGAGTGCAGGTGTAGAAGTGAGGGTGACATGACACTCACCTCTAATAAGGTCACTCTGGGTGTCAGAGTGCAGGTATAGAAGTGAGAGTGTCATGACACTCACCTCTAATAAGGTCACTCTGGGTGTCAGAGTGCAGGTGTAGAAGTGTGGCACTCTGAGAGTGACAGTAGTGCTTCCCACTGCTCCAGCTGGCATTGTGTCTGGCCAGGTAGTAACAAGCTCCTGGGCCCTCCTCCCACATGAACGGACACTCACCTGTTGAATAATATCATTATTAGCGACGGTGGATCGAGTCTGCAACATTATTTGTGTTATATAATGCACTCACAGTGACGGAGGATCAAGCCTGCACCACTAATAGTGTTGGAACAACACTCACAGTGACGGAGGATCAAGCCTGCACCACTAATAGTGTTGGAACAACACTCACAGTGACGGAGGATCAAGCCTGCAACACTAATAGTGTTGGAACAACACTCACAGTGACGGAGGATCAAGCCTGCACCACTAATAGTGTTGGAACAACACTCACAGTGACGGAGGATCAAGCCTGCAACACTAATAGTGTTGGAACAACACTCACAGTGACGGAGGATCAAGCCTGCAACACTAATAGTGTTGGAACAACACTCACAGTGACGGAGGATCAAGCCTGCAACACTAATAGTGTTGGAACAACACTCACAGTGACGGAGGATCAAGCCTGCAACACTAATAGTGTTGGAACAACACAAAACTCTAGCGCACAACAATTATAACTAACATTCTAACAACATATTGAACGTTGGTGAACACGGTGAACGAAAATAGAAGAGAAATGAACGTAAATAATGGAGAAGGTAGGACCACTACGTTCCGGAAGCGTCCTTAATTATAACGTAGCGACTTCTCAAGACGTTACCGGTGAACGTAAATGAAAGTCTGATGTAAATTGAGGTGTTGAGTAGGTAGGTTCTACCTGAGTTGGTAGTGTCAAAAACCGTAGATGGTAGGTTACCTGAGTAGGTAGGTGTTAGTGAGTAGGTAGGTGTCTACCTGAGTAGGTAGGTGTCTACCTGAGTAGGTAGGTGTCTTCCTGAGTAGGTAGGTGTCTACCTGAGTAGGTAGGTGTCTACCTGAGTAGGTAGGTGTCTACCTGAGTAGGTAGGTGTCTTCCTGAGTAGGTAGGTGTCTACCTGAGTAGGTAGGTGGCTACCTGAGTAGGTAGGTGTCTACCTGAGTAGGTAGGTGTCTTCCTGAGTAGGTAGGTGTCTACCTGAGTAGGTAGGTGTCTACCTGAGTAGGTAGGTGTCTACCTGAGTAGGTAGGTGTCTCCTGAGTAGGTAGGTGTCTACCTGAGTAGGTAGGTGTCTTCCTGAGTAGGTAGGTGTCTACCTGAGTAGGTAGGTGTCTACCTGAGTAGGTAGGTGTCTACCTGAGTAGGTAGGTGGCTACCTGAGTAAGTAGGTGTCTACCTGAGTAGGAAGGTGTCTTTCTGAGTAGGTAGGTGTCTACCTGAGTAGGTAGGTGTCTTCCTGAGTAGGTAGGTGTCTACCTGAGTAGGTAGGTGTCTTCCTGAGTAGGTAGGTGTCTACCTGAGTAGGTAGGTGTCTACCTGAGTAGGTAGGTGTCTACCTGAGTAGGTAGGTGTCTACCTGAGTAGGTAGATGTCTACCTGAGTAGGTAGGTGTCTTCCTGAGTAGGTAGGTGTCTACCTGAGCAGGTAGGTGTCTACCTGAGTAGGTAGGTGTTTTCCTGAGTAGGTAGGTGTCTACCTGAGTAGGTAGGTGTCTACCTGAGTAGGTAGGTGTCTTCCTGAGTAGGTAGGTGTCTACCTGAGTAGGTAGGTGTCTACCTGAGTAGGTAGGTGTCTACCTGAGTAGGTAGGTGTCTACCTGAGTAGGTAGGTGTCTTCCTGAGTAGGTAGGTGTCTACCTGAGTATGTAGGTGTCTTCCTGAGTAGGTAGGTGTCTACCTGAGTAGGTAGGTGTCTTCCTGAGTAGGTAGGTGTCTACCTGAGCAGGTAGGTGTCTACCTGAGCAGGTAGGTGTCTACCTGAGCAGGTAGGTGTCTACCTGAGTAGGTAGGTGTCTACCTGAGTAGGTAGGTGTCTACCTGAGCAGGTAGGTGTCTACCTGAGCAGGTAGGTGTCTACCTGAGCAGGTAGGTGTCTACCTGAGCAGGTAAGATAACGTTACACTGTAGCTGAGATAATGTTACAGTGTAGCTGAGATAATGTTACAGTGTAGCTGAGATAATGTTACAGTGTAGCTGAGATAATGTTACAGTGTAGCTGAGATAACGTTACAGTGTAGCTGAGATAATGTTACAGTGTAGCTGAGATAATGTTACAGTGTAGCTGAGATAATGTTACAGTGTAGCTGAGATAATGTTACAGTGTAGCTGAGATAATGTTACAGTGTAGCTGAGATAATGTTACAGTGTAGCTGAGATAATGTTACAGTGTAGCTGAGATAATGTTACAGTGTAGCTGAGATAATGTTACAGTGTAGCTGAGATAATGTTACAGTGTAGCTGAGATGTTACAGGCCCGGTGGCCTGGTGGCTAAAGCTCCCGCTTCACACACGGAGGGCCCGGGTTCGATTCCCGGCGGGTGGAAACATTCGACACGTTTGAACATTAAAATGGTATAAAATACCGACAGGTTGTTAGGTAAGACACATATGCAACAGTTAGGTATCTTTATTATGAAACGTTTCGCCTACACAGTAGGCTTCTTCAGTCAAGTACAGAAAAGTTGATAGAAGCAGAAGATACTTGAAGACGATGTAATCAGTCCATCACCCTTAAAGTTTTGAGGTGGTCAGTCCCTCAGTCTGGAGAAGAGCATTGTTCCATAGTATGAAACAATATGGAGAAGAAGTGACAGGATGGAGCTTTTTATAGCGCCAAGAGGTGAGACGTAGGCCACTAGGAGAGGTAAGAACTCAGATGTTGAAAGGCCAGGTCCCTCTCAAATCCAGCCGCTCTCAACTTCGACAACTTCCACTAGTGAGAGCGGCTGGATTTGAGAGGGACCTGACCTTTCAACATCTGAGTTCTTACCTCTCCTAGTGGCCTACGTCTCACCTCTTGGCGCTATAAAAAGCTCCATCCCGTCACATCTTCTCCATATTGTTTCATACTATGGAACAATACTCTTCTCCAGACTGAGGGACTGACCACCTCAAAACTTTAAGGGTGATGGACTGATTACATCGTCTTCAAGTATCTTCTGCTTCTATCAACTTTTCTGTACTTGACTGAAGAAGCCTACTGTGTAGGCGAAACGTTTCATAATAAAGATACCTAACTGTTGCATATGTGTCTTACCTAACATTCGACACGTTTCCTTACACCTGTTGTCCTGTTCACCTAGCAGCAAATAGGTACCTGGGTGTTAGTCGACTGGTGTGGGTCGCATCCTGGGGGACAAGATTAAGGACTCCAATGGAAATAAGTTAGACAGTCCTCGATGACGCCCTGACTTTCTTGGGTTATCCTGGCTGGCTAACCCTCCGGGGTTAAAAATCCGAACGAAATCTTATCTTATCTTATCTTATCTCTTAACATCACGTCATAATGACGTACACAGTATAAGTCACTATGCTGAGTAATAACCCACACAGACAGTAACTCACGAGACTGACTGACCTGTATATTTCGGTTCCTTTCTGGGACCCTCTTCAGCAGATGCATGTGGAAACTAAGAACATAAGAGAGGAGGAACACTGCAGCAGGCCTTCTGGCCCATGCTGGGCAGGTCCTAGTCACTACTGGCCCATGCTAGGGAGGTCCTAGTCACCTACTGGCCCATGCTAGGCAGGTCGTAGTCACCTACTGGCCCATGCTAGGGAGGTCCTAGTCACCTCCTGGCCCATGCTAGGCAGGTCCTAGTCACCTACTGGCCCATGCTAGGCAGGTCCTAGTTACCTACTGGCCCATGCTAGGCAGGTCTAGTCACCTACTGGCCCATGCTAGGCAGGTCGTAGTCACCTACTGGCTCATGCTAGGCAAGTCTAAGTCAACTACTGGCGCATGCTAGGCAGGTCCTAGTTACTTACTGGCCCATGCTAGGCAGGTCGTAGTCACCTACTGGCCCATGCTAGGCACATGTATTGCACATGTGTCTAATTTATCAACTTGTGGGTTCTTTGTGCCATCTACACGATGGTAGATAGGGAAGGAAGGTAGAGAGAGATGGTTTGACTGATCTCTATATTTGGTAGTATAAAGACAAGAATGAAATGGTTATATAATCATATTTTTTAAAGTGGTGGAGTGGTAAGCCAGTGGAAGGCCTCGGTCAGATGACCAAAAGCTTCAGCTGTGGGTCACCATATGGCTAAGACCCGCGTCAGGAAATACTTGCTCTGTTTCCTGACAAACATTACCTGACCTAACTAGTATATTTGGTCTACCACAATATTGGTGGATATTACTGAGCTCTGGCAAATGTTCACTGCACTTCACTTATCCTTAAGTTATTATAAACACAGGAAGGCAAATATAGAATAGAGTCGTAAAATAAGAAAAGTTTGTATGGTGAAGTCTATCATTAGTACGTCACAACAGAACGACTGGAAACTAGGAACGTAAAGTTATTAGTGAGTTAGCACTCTACTAGGAGAGTCGTGGTCACTGTATTCTGCTCCAAGTTATTTTATATATATACATATGTTGTGTAGAATTCTCAGAATTTTGTTGGGTAGGAAGAGAGAGTCAGTCAGACTGTGAGAATGAGTCAACAGTATATCTCATACATTAACAATAACCACGGTGGAAATAAGTCACTCTGACTTTCTGGGTTATCATGGTGGGTAATTTATATGTTACTGTGTGTGATAATTGTAATCACCAACATTTGTGAAACTGTATTTATGTGTACCTCTGTTTATGTGTACCTGTTCTTAGGTATACCTGTACATAAATAAACTTATTAGCCAAGATTGTTACACAGCCACATCAGAAGGAAGATGACGGTGAAGTAGCAGGTAATAAGGCGAAAGAAGGAAGGGGGAGAGCGAACTAGCAAAAACGAGGAAGCCTGGTCACTCATAGTGAGAGAGATATTACTAGTTAGTGAGGTAGAATGCCTCGACAAGTACTGAACACACACACAGGTCAAGAACTACCAGAGTGAGACAGATACCTTGAAGGCAATGTGGCCAGGCAACATCTCTCAATGAGTTTTGAGAGAAGGAGCAGAGGCACTGTGTGAGCCATTACCCAAAGCTTTCAAGTTATTCAACAGAAGATAACTGCCAGAGGTGTG